GAGAGAGAGAGAGAGAGAGAGAGAGAGAGAGAGAGAGAGAGAGAGAGAGAGAGAGAGAGAGAGAGAGAGAGAGAGAGAGAGAGAGAGATGGGCCCATTCAGTTGACCGGGCCCATTTGTCTGGACAGTCCCAGTAGAAGCATCGCACAACAGAGAGGTCATACATCATGTCGACTCTGGGAAGTGCGGAGTAATGGAAAAAAAAAAAAAAAAAAAAGACACAGGATGCAGTCCAAGCTCTTGAATAACATCACCAAGTACACTTTTTTTTTTCTTCCCTCTTTTCTAAACCGTTTCTCGATTTATGTGTGCCATGCTTTTCTAAACCATTTCTCTGCATCGTTCCAATTTTAAAGGATGTCCCGAAGGACCCAAGTACACTTTTGATCGCACATGAAACTGTGACAGTCCCCTTCTTTTATACAGTCCCATTTGTTTTGGGCAGTCCTACGTGTTTGAACCGTCCCATTTGTTTGGACATTCACACCATGGCTGTGCCGGCAACCGGCCAGATCCAACCAGGCCGGATCCAACCGGGCCGGTTGGACCCCCGGTGGTCCAACCAGAATTCCCGTTGGGCCCAAAAGTGGGTAAAAAAAAAAAAAAAAAAAAAATTGAAAACATGGTTGGACTGCGCTCGCCGAGATCTCCCCGAATCCGCACAGAAAACTTTGAACAGAGAAGTTGGCCCGGGGTGTATTTCAGGGGTTGAGGGTCAGGGGTTGAGGGGGTTCGGTGAGGATGTTGGTGGAGGGGTTTCAGCAACCACAGGCTTCAGCAGACATTGACAACAACGTACCTGGCTTTCTGCAAACGTTAACCTTCCACCGAAAAACTTTGAAAAGGGGGCTGGAGGTATTACTGGCAGGGTAGGGACGGTACTTCCCACCCAAAAACTTTGAAAAGGAGGATGGGGGTGACAGTGTTAGCGGGTGCTTGTCACTGCTTTTCTGGTCCAAGTTGCCCTCTATATACTGGTAGGGTGATGGTCCTGAGTGCTGGTCACACTGACGTAGGATAGTAGGGATAGGGGGTGCACTGGGAGCATTAACGGGGGGAAGGGTAGAGAAGGTGGCCTATTCTGTCGGCACAACCACCGGCTGCTGCTGCCAGCAATCACCGAAGATCTAGTCCTTGGCCTCTACAACACCCTGGACCTTAACCCAAAAAAGAAAAAAAAAATGATGCGCTACGGCCAACCGGGGGGGAGCCGGCCGGTAGGACCGGTCCGGTTCCGGTTGGGGGAGGGCCCCCCGGTCCTACCGGGTTTGCAGCCTTGATTCACACCCATTTATTTTGCGTGCTATATTCAATGACATGAAGCTTCACACCATGAAAAAATACAGTGATGTCGATGTGGAGTTTTTGTTACTTTTCTGTTTCCGGCACTTGAAAAAAAGACACATTCCCTCACGAGTCACGACCCCTGTGCAACTACTGTAGGCAGACTGTGCAGCTCACTGAAACGATCGCAACCCTCGCCCTCTGGAGCTAAAGGCATTCTGGATTTGAAATTTTGAATATAGGTTTGCTAACTTTTAAGGGAATTCTTGGGAGCAGAGACTATACTGCATTGTGCAATCGGACTCGTCTTCTTCTTACTCAGCATGCATGAAAACAGATGGCAATCACACTGGCGACGAGAGCCCACACAAAGCTCAGAGATATCGTGGCCAAGAACACAGTTCAGATTCAACTCGCTTTGAATGGCTATGGCACCTGTGCGCCCTCACAATACCCTTCCACGCTGTATCCTCAGCACTGTTCACACGCACGCTACTCTGGATCTCCCTGGATATCCCACACACGCACACAACTCGCTGCACACTCACCCACATACACGCTGTGGACTACCTCTAACCTATAGCAGCTATGGCTGCGTTCTGCATCTACCACTAACTAGCGGCTATGGCCGCTTCGTCTCCCTCTCTGCCCACTTCTTCCTCGGGCACCTGCAGACCTCCTTGCACAAGCCGTTCAGGCAGCGCTTCCGCACGGCTCACAGTCTGAATGAATGAATAACTGGATGCTGCCTCTTGATTTATACTTCAGTTGGTCGCAGGTCTGCTCCTTTCCACCGGGCCCAGGGTGCACACAGTCCCACATAGTACTTGCTGACTTGACAAGGTGCGACTGGGACTGGGTACCGCTGAGTGGACCTGGTAATTCTGCCCATTTGCCCATTTGCCCACTTGCCCACTTGCCCACTTGACCACTTGCCTACTAACTGCTTCCAAGACTCTCGAAGGGGCAGTCCTAGAAGACTCTAGGTCTTTCTACTTGCCCTTTCGGTACTCTAGAAGACTCTAGACCTAGGTTGACCCTTTAGACGTACAGCAGCTACGGTCAGACATAAGCTACGACTCCTACCCTACAGGTAAGCGGCTCGAACCTACTCAACCCTCGTATGTACAACAGCCTTAGACAGGCAACTTATAGGGGCAGGTCACGGGTTCAAACCTAGATGGGGCAAACTGTACTGTACACAGGTTCGGGGCAGGTCTAGGGATCGAGCCCTGGGATCTGCATCTGCTACTGCAAAGGTGAACACCGTTTCAATTGCTAAAACAGAGTCTCCACCTACTTCACCTTTGGTATTTTGGGGGGAAAAAAAAAAAAAAAAAAAGCGCACAGTACACTCGGGCATGAGATGCAGAAAAAATAACAGAACGAAACTGATGGAAAAGAGTGGGACAGGATTGGACTGGTCCTTTACCCTGCGGCAGTCACAAGCGCACACTGGAACTGATCCTGCAGGTTCCGGATCCGCACCACCTCTAGCCGCAAAGTCTCGGCCAACCGTCCTTCCTCGGCGCCCTCGGCACCTCGAACGACCATCACCAGTCCCACTCGCACAAGAGTCTCCACCGATTGCCAGCGGACAGATGCGCTTTCCGTCGACGGGCCACCGGCACCTGAGGATCTTTTTCCAGGCTTTGCCTCCAGCATTCCGGCTTCTACGGAATCCGTATACGAACGTAAAGAACCTGGACGTGCTCCGAAGCTAGGGTCCTTGACAAGCCCACGAACACCTGTGCGCATTGCTGCCGGAACGTTGAGTGGGGTCGGTGAGGACGATCGAGCGCCTTGGTGATGCGTATTGGTATTACTGCTGCTCCCAGTGGCTGCACCATTTGCTTCCTGCTCCATAGACTCACTATTCCGTCTCATGGATATTGCCGCAACTGCGACATCTACCTCCTCCCGTATTTGCCCGATCTCTTCTGCAGTCTCTGTCATCCACTGGCATGTGCGGAGAAGCCTGCTCCTTATTTGCTCCCTCTGATCGCATCTCGGCTGCCATTCAAGAGGGCTTGGTTGTCGATGAAGCAGGGCATCGAACACTGGCAAGCCTCTACCATCTGCCAAGGGGGTACCACCATCGTCATCGGGGCCCTGAAGCCCATGCTGCTTCGCAAACTGCATGCGCAGATATCCAACCCCTGCGGCGCTGTTGATCACCCGTGACACAGCCCTCAGCCGGGCATTACTGATATCCAGCTTCAGGACCTGTGGCAGGTTCACACAAAGAGAGGATGCCAAAACAAGAAACACTGCCCCACATAACTATCCCTCCCCCTCCTTTCCGTATCGAAGTCGATCCCAGTCCATCACAATGATCACATCATCAAATCTCAACCGAAAAAATGCAATTTCACATCGTTAAATCTCCAACACAATATCAATATCACATCATTGAATTTCCAATACAACACCACTTCGTCAAGCCACGAGTACGACTCAGCTTTTTCGTTCCTAACTGAAGAGAAAAAAAAATGAACACATTCTCAAACTACAGCTACCGCTCCTTTAATAAATCATTTGTTAATAATTTGTCTGGGTGTTCTCTGTACGCAGCGGTCTACCTGCTGCGTGGACACAATGCGCCCTGATCATATGCGTCTCCACGCAAGATATCTTTCTGGTCCGATACAATCATGAGGAGGGTGCGTCGTGTTCAGGGGAAGACCGTTTGTTGATTTGTGTGTCGTATCCTTGTGCGGAGGCCACACCAATGTTCCCTCCACTGCTTCGCTTTTTTTTTTGTTTTTTTTGTTGGATTTGTTTCAATCTTAACGGATGCCCCATGGGTGCCTCTTCTTAATACTTTTTTTCAGCAACACCAATTTTGTTTTTCTCTCTTTCTCTTCAGCGAGCTCTAATAGAGCACTTTCATGAATTGCATAATATTCGATATCATATGGGCCTCGATCCACTACTCGCTGAATGTGCAAAATGAGAAAGAATCTTCTGCTTGAACATGGGAAGATACACCGCCATATTTTTATTTTTTTTTGTGCATGTGAACGGTAGGTGGAGCGAGGCCCATAGACCCTGTCTGTGTTGCGAAGCTCTGTGTATAACATCTACAGAGCTTACTTCAGAAACTCTTCACAGGAGTCTCCAGATGTTTTGTTTTGTTTTTTTTTCCACCCTCATATTCAGACTTTTCTGGCGCCCGCTCACACTTTTCGTAGCATTTAGACAAACAAAGATGTACCAACTGCTACCAAGAAATTATTGGCCTACTCTTTTTTTGTGCACTTTTGCTCCTGAAAAAAATTCACAAAAAAATCTGCACAACAGTACCTTCATCTGTCAAACCCACCCTCTCTACCCTCCCTACCACACGCCACTTTCCCACCATGATGCAGAGCCCCTACCCCTCTCTCCCTCCAGGTCACCCACTCACCCACATTTCTCACCGTCCCTCTCAACCTGCAAACGATGGACAAGTTTTGCATCGGAACAATTTTTACAAAACTCTGCACAACAGCACCATAAATCCGCCAACCCTCTCTAACCTCGCAAATGCCAGTTTCCCCCACCAAAATGCAGTCCCAACTCCTCACACCTCCCCCTCCAGCTTCTCACCCACTCGCCCGCCCACATTTACCGCCGTCCCCTCTTACCTGCAAACGATCGAAAACAAACCGGAACCCGTTAACAACAGCATCTGCAAAGGCTTTCTTCGCCGCCGCTTCATGCTCTGCAGTCACAGCATCATCCGATTTCCCATCCTGCGTAATTGCAGCCAGATTGACTGATGCCGAAAGCTCAAGGAGCAGCCTTTGATGCTCGGACCGCGATTCGTCATCTCTCGCCGGCGCCCCCAGTTTCAGCATCAAGTCGGCAACGAAGTCGAGGAGACCCCTCATATACCCAAAATCTAGTCTCGAGGAGTTCAGAAGCTCCGTCAACACCTTGGTATCCATCTTCGCACATATTTCCTCTTTCATCCGCTCTGACGCCAGCGACAGCAACTCTTCGCGAATCTCCTCCACAAGTGTCACAACCCGCGAGAAGTCGGGGGGGTCGCTCAACAAGTGGAAACGCAAAGTATCCCAGAAAGCATCCTCCATTATCTGCCGAACTCTTGCGTGCAGCTCGGATAACGAACCAGTGATCCGCAACTTCTGCCCGTCGCCCCCTGCGTGCCCTTTGGCGGGCGATTTGCAACTGCTACCTTCCCCTGGAGACCTTCCATCCGACTTCGTCACCTCAAAGGGATTGGAACCTGAAGACGAGATTGACAGCGCCGCCGCCGCCGTCCCCACATCACCCGTTCCCCGAGCCGCTGAGTTTGGCTTGCTGCCGTGAACGCCTCCTCCGCTCCGTCCCGGGCTCGCTGGGAACTGCCAATCAGGATTGTGCAAGAGTTCGTACACCATCTTCTCATTGGTAAGACCGGTGTTCGACCTCATTGACGGAAAGAGATTCACAGCTGCTCCTGAAGATGACGACGACAAGGAGGGCGCTGCGGGTGGAGGAAGAGAGGGAGACGGGTAGGAAGGCGACGCCATCTGGAAGCTAGCGCGGCTCCCCCGGTCACAACACTCTGCGCTCAAAGCTTCGACGTGGCTTGGCATGGCACAGGATGACAGGGTGGCCCTCCCACCATGATGCTGCGGAGTGTTCACCCCCCCTTCCACATAGCTTCCAGTCCCTTCTAGTCTCTCATGCCTTTCACCGTCGTCATCCTTTCTCACTCTTTTCCCCTCGTCAGGTCGCGAGGAGCCCGGGAAAAGCGCTGACGAACCACGCCGAGCGCTGGGTGACGGTGTTGTAATACCAGCGCTGGTTGTTGTCGAAGTTCCGCCTGGAGAACAAGAGTTGGGAACACTTTGTGGGCTACCGGCAGGCTTCGGAAATGTAAATTTGAAAAGCGACCGTTTGGGCTTTGCAGGGGACAAAGGGCTACTGTTAGACGATGGCGATCGTCCCGGCGAAGGCGAAGGCGATGGCCGTTGATCTGGCGAATGGCCAGGAGATACGAAGGAACTGCGATAAGGAGAATGGCTGGGCTCAGATATATAGGATGACAACGGTGATAATGTGCCCGCACAGGGGGACCCAGTTGGCTGCTCGGGTCCTTTGCACTCCTGACCCACGTGCAGCACCTCACCCATCGGATCCACACGATCAATGTCACCAAGGTCAGAAAGGTGTGCGATTGATGAGCCATTAACTCTGTCAGCAAGCGGGGGTGTCGATGGGTCCTTACCGGCAGCATTGCCAGCTGCATCAGCATGCCTTTGCGACATGGCACCCAGATCTTCCAAGGCGAAACCCGCACCATCAGGCTCATAGCCATCCCTTGTACGGGAGGGAGGGAGGGAAGACGGCAGGGAATCGGGTGGAGACGGTGCAGGCATTACAGGTAAACTTGCCTCCAGCGACATCTGAAATGTGTGCGGCAAACCTGGTGCTTCCTTATCGCCGCCTTCATCACGCCTTTCCACAAGTTCTTCACCGCCTTTCTCCCCCAGACCAGGACCCCCCTTGGCCATGGTGTGGCGCCGATCTACGTCTTCGTCACCCTGAGGACCATCCACAAAAGTCGCACATATATCTGTCCGCACAATCCCCATTCCTCCAGCTGCCCTGCTTCTCTCAGGGCGTCTTCACACTAGGACTTTTCTGGATGTTTCTGACTGCAATAATGACCGTCCCTGTGTGTGTACTGCCACAATCGCGTCCAGAGCTGAGCACCATAATAGGTCTTAGAGTGAGTAATGCTCTCACTCTTTTTCCTCCTTGTCAGTGAACTGCTCGTGCTCAATAGCAAACGCACCTTTTTCTTTTTGTTGTTGTTTTTTTTTTACCTGGAACGTCCGGCACCAGTTAGTTCCACACTAATCCATCCAGCCATGGCACTATCCTATCGCACTCATCGCTGAAGACAGGGAGGCACTCTGTACTCTGGCACGTCCTCAGAAGATACAAGAAGGCATCTACATGGCACTTGTGCTCTGATGTAACAATCTACACACTTGATTCAGAAAGAACAACTGTTGTCACAAAGGAATAAACAAGCCAAGACAGAAAACAACACAATACGATTGTGAATCACGATCGTCATCGTCATCACTTTTTTTAGCATCACCATCATCATTGTCATCACTATCATCATCATTAGCATCTGATAAGTAAAGATCTAGCCATAACAGACCTGCCAATTTGTTCTGCTGATTTCAAGAGAAGCAACGGCCCATTCTTCTTGGGACAAAAATAACATCTCAGGTTCAGGAGCCATAGCCAAGACAGAAAGAATACAATTGAGCATCGCCACCATCATTATCATCATCATCATCATCATCATCATCATCATCATCGTCATTAGCATCTCATAAGTACAGAGCTAGCCATAACACAAACCTGACAATTTGCAATGCTGACTCCGAGAGATGCGATGGACCGCTTTTTTTGGTAAAAAAGGGACAACTCAGGTTGAGAAGCAATTATCGCCACAGAGAGAACCCCCTCTTGGCACGGTCACGGTCATCCAGGCCACCGTCTTCACCCGAACAGAACGCCCCCGGACGTTATTGCTGTACCTAGACTAAAAGTTATATTCAATACGGAATTTGACTGCTGTTTGAGGAAATGTTTGGCAAACGAAGATAGGCTCAAAGCAGTTATGGTTTTGTAGTTTGCACATCATGATGAGATAACTGCCATGTGCACTGACATGAAATAAGGAATTCGATTGCTGTGTGAGGAAATCCGACCGAAAAGGAGGAACAACAGCTCTCTCCAAATTGTTCTGGTCGCGCCTACCGTCTTCACCCAAACAGAACGCCCGGTAATTATGGCTGTATCTGGTCTGAAGAAGGGAGTAAAACAAATGAAGTTTTGTTGTCCTGGCGCCTTCTAGAAAAAGTACGTATACAACCATAATTTTTAGTAAATGGAGGGGTCTGATAAATAGTATCTCCTAAGATAACTTCATCTATATTGTTTATTTGATTATTTTTATTCAAAAATTCAGAATTGAATACTGAAAGTTGCATCAAATATACAGCTGTAATGAGCGGGTGTTCTATTCGGGTGAAGACGGTAGCTCCGCACACGAAGATAGATGTAGATAGCATGACTGCCAAACTAGTTCGGCTGACGAAGATAGGCTCAGAGCAGTTACCCTTTACGCCGAAGGATGTCTGTGTTTAAAGACGTGTTGCCTTGTTTCTCCTTCAAGGCCTCTTCCCCCCTTCCTGCATCTGTTTTTCTATCCCTATCCATTGCTGCTTCTCCAACTCCTTCCTCCTCTCCGCTTTGGAAAGTAAACAACGCCCTACTCACTCGTATATTTTTGTTAATCTGCTCTGCCCCGCGTACACGCAAGGGCCTGCCAGTGTGAACTCTGCTCTGCCCCGCATACAGGCAAGGGGCCTGCCAGTGTGAGACAACCAAACTGGAGTTGAAAAAAAATTGGTGGGATGATGTAAACTACAGCAAAAGTGCACTGCCTGCTAAGACAGCGCCGGGTTCAAATCCATGTAGACGCACGACAAGAAAAACAACTGAACCTGAGTCTTGTAGGTCAGGGATCGAATCCTAGCGTCTACAGTCACGAGTGTTAAAACAGCAGTACAAAAGTCAGATAACTAACTGTAGCTGCGCCCGACAGTTACCATGCATGCAGAATGGTAACTGCATGGCAACTGTAGCTGCCCCCAACAGTTACCATGCATGCAGAAAAATGGTAACTGCATGGTAACTGTAGCTTCCCCCAACAGTTATACCATGCATGCAGAATGGTAACTGCATGGTAACTGTAGCTGTGCCCGATAGTTACCATGTATGCAGAATGGTAACTGCATGGCAACTGTAGCTGTGCCCGACAGTTACCATGTATGCAGAATGGTAACTGCATGGTAACTGCATTGTAACTGAATGGTAACTGCATGGTTACCAGATGGTAACTGCATGGTAACTGTAGTTTCCCCCAACAGTTACCATGCATGCAGAATGGTAACTGCATGGCAACTGTAGCTGTGCCCGACAGTTACCATGTATGCAGAATGGTAACTGCATGGTAACTGCATTGTAATTGAATGGTAACTGCATGGTAGCCGCATGGTAACTGCATGGTAACTGCATGGTAACTGCATGGTAACTGTAGCTGCGCCCAACACTTAGCATGCATGCAGAATGGTAACTGTATGGTAACTGTAGCTGCGCCCGACAGTTAGCATGCATGCAGAATGGTAACTGCATGGTAACTGTAGCTGCGGCCAACAGTTACCATGGGTGTAGAATGGTAACTGCACCATTATGCATGGTAACTGCAGCTGCGCCCAATAGTTACCCTGCATGCAGAATTGACGTCATTTAGTTTTTTGTCTGGATTTTGGATAAGGTGACCCTCTCCCAGAATTCTACACAGCCAACTCGTTTTTCCAAAGTGTTCCAACTTTTTCGCAAATTTTGAGGACTACTAGGCCATCATGGGGCTCTCGCACACCCCGGTTGTCCCAGGCTGTCCCATCCAAACCTCCGGGACCACCTGTCCTAGATCCAGCCTCATAACACAGGTTACGAACCAAAACGAATAAACAAAAGAAAAGATAACAACGACGACAACAGCATCAACAACTACTACCCCGTTAGAGCTTCGCCCGCAAAAAAAAAAAAAAAAAAAAAAAAAAGCGCAAAAAAGAAAGAGAAAAGCATAATGAACTGTCCTATATCATTTGCCGCCGTTTCTTTCGCAATAAGAAAAAGAAGAACCTGGCAGCACACACAGAAAAAAATCCGATTGCAAGATAACAGGAGGAAATACCACCAAACCTCTTTTTAGAATTCCGAAGTTTTTTTCCCTTTCACAACGAGTGTTTTGTTTGGGTTTTGAACCCGTTACCTTCTCAGCACCGTTTTTTGACCGAATCCCCTTTTTTTTCCCAATTACAATGGGTGTGTTTTTGTTTGGGGGAAGCCGCTACCTTCTAAAGCATCGTTTTTTTTTTTTCTTTTTTTTTTCTGCTGTGTGTAATGCCCCACGGAGTTGCAGTTAAAAAAAAAAAAAAAAAAAAAAAGTTGCAGTTCTGAGACAACCGTTGTGTGTACTTTTCTGACAAACTGCTGTCCCATCGTCCGGATGATCTTTTTGCTAAAGATTCCCGATTCAGAACTTTGTTTGCTGGTTTTTTTTTTTTACTTTTTTCTAAATATGTTTGTGATCAACCGATCTTATCTAGATCCCATGTGCTTACTTGTTGAGTTTTGACTCCTGTCTGTCCTGTACGCAGCAATTGCCTTGTGTGCGGGCGAATCTCAGTTTGGTGGGCCCAGATGGCACTGATGATTGACGATTGGCCGCAGGGGAGGTGTCAGAAGCCGCCGTCAGCTTTAAGACTATATAAGAGTGGCACTGATGTTAAGCAGGTCTTCTAATGTATGAATGAAGTAATAAGCTTGGGGCATTTCCAATCTGATCGGCAGTTGCTGCTCCCCGGGAGTTGGCGGAAGTGCCACCGTCATGTGACCCGTCATGCTGATTGGCATGCATCTTGGACCATTTCCTGGAAGGCAGAAGCCAAACACGAAACCCAGCGGCATGTGTCAGAATCTCATAATGGACAGCGTGGCAAAGTCTCTCTCTCTCTCTCTCTCTCTCTCTCTCTCTCTCTCTCTCTCTCTCTCTCTCTCTCTCTCTCTCTCTCTCTCTCT